AAAACATGGGTCTCCCTTTCCTGCTGTCTTCATTATCTGTAGCCACCATGGATCAGCCTCTGGGTTTCTGCAGAGCCTGCTGTGACGCTGGTGCAAGTGTAGAAATACTGGTGCTTTCCTTGATCTTGTTCTAGGGCGCTGGCAGAGTTTGCAAACTGTGTTTAGAATCCCTTTGGGTTCACGTTACATTATTTCTGGCTTGGCTGAAAGAACAGACAGAACATAGTGTCCTGCTTCGCTTTGCATCTGGAGGGGAAAGCTTGGAAACTCATTGTGATGTCCCCGTTGCCTTTGCCCCCAGCGTGCAATGAGGTTGCACCATCATTTCTCTGTAGTTGATGTGAGGGATGTGAAAACATGCCTCTGCTTTGGAAAAAAATGGCAGTTTTGAAGAGTTGGAGGTGGTGATGTTAGAATGGGGGTGAAAAGGAACTGGGGTTTGAGGTAGAACTGAGGGAATGGAGAGAAGTTGCGTTTCCAACAGGGAGCCTGGAGCAGGGCTGGGAACTGGTTCCCAGCTTAATTCTTTCTTTCCAGTGTTGCCCTCTCTTGAATCACCATTTGAGTTAAAGTTCATATATATGTATAAAAACTTGGGGGTTTGAGTATCCTTCTGTAGCATATTCAAACCATTCCCCATTTCTTCATTTTTATAAATATATATGAGAACCTCTGCTCTGGAGCCAGGCTGAGAGAGCTGGGCTGGGGCAGCTGGAGAAGAGAAGGCTCCTGAAGGGGACACCTTAGAGCAGCTCCAGTGCCTAAAGGGGCTCCAGGAAACCTGGAGAGGGGCTTGGGACAAGGGATGGAGGGACAGGACAAGGGGAATGGCTTTAACCTGCCAGAGGGGAGACTGAGATGAGCTCTTGGGCAGAAGCTCTTCCCTGTGAGGGTGCTGAGGCGCTGGCACAGGGTGGCCAGAGAAGCTGTGGCTGCCCCATCCCTGGCAGTGTTCAAGGCCAGGTTGGACACAGGGGCTTGGAGTAACCTGCTCTAGTGGAAGGTGTCCCTGCCCGGGGCAGGGGTTGGAGCTGGAGGAGCTTTAAGCTCCCTTCCAACAGAAACCAGTCTGTAATTCTATGATTAATGAATGAGTTGTGATGTAAATTACTATTAGTTTCTAAAAACTCCAGAGAACCTCTCCCCACTCTTGCAGCAAGGTTCTTCTCATACCCTGGGAAGCTGCAGGTCCGCAGCCCTGCACAGCACACACAGCACATTTGCAGCTTTCTGAGCTTATTCCACTTTCACATCATCACAGTAAAAGCTCCTCTTTTTTTCTCCCCCTCTTCTTTTCCTTTCCCTCCAGTGTATATGCTGTCAAGTTTGATTTATAGCCTTGAAAAGGAGGCTCCAGTTTGAGGAATTAATGGTATTTGCATATTTTATTTGGAAACTCCCCCGGCAGACCTGCTGCAGCCCAGCGCCGCGGCACAGGCGGGTTTTTCCTTTCTCTTTTTCTTCCCCCCTCACTCATTCACATTTAGCAGCAGAGGTGAAAAGTTTAAACAGTAAAACCAATAAAACCACATTTATGTGACAGATAAATCGCTTCAAGACAGCTTGCTCTGAGCCATCGGGCTTCCTCCTTGCAAGACCTTTTCTCCTGTGGTACATGACCTGCAGCAGAGCCCTGTGAGTGCCGCCGATGCCCTGTGCCACACGGCAGCCAGGGGCAAAGGTGCTGGCCCTGGCTATCCTTGGACCTGCCTCGCCAGCAAGATGGATGTGAGCAAGCAGTTGTAAAATACACAGGCTATCCATCACTGTCGTGAGCTGGCCGGGGGGAGTCTGGGTCTCCCAGTGCCTGGGGAAGGTCCAGCTCGGGCTGGGAGCACGTTTAGGATGGGGCTTATTTAGAATCCCAAGATTGTTTATGTTGGAAAAGACCTTTAAGGTTATCGAGTCCAGCTGTGGACCTAGCACTGCCATGGCCACTGCTAAACCATGTCACTGAGGGCCTCATCTACACATCACTTAAATACCTGAAGGGACGGTGACTCCAGCCCTGCCCTGGCCAGCCTGTTCCAATGCCTGAGCACCCTCTGGGCAAGGAATTGTTCCTCAGCTCCAGCTAAACCTGCCCTGGGGCAGCTTGAGGCCGGTTCCTCTTGTCCCATCCCTTGTTCCTTGGGAGCAGAGACCAGCCCC